GAGGTTGGCAGGCTGGGGCTATAAGGGAAGCCAAAAACGCTAAAGATGTGGCGTAGCCACGGCCATCCCTTTGGCAGTCATAAGGCGCCACCCAGGTCACGGGACCCACTCGGCCGCAAGTACGTCGAAGCTACGTCTAGGTCCTCTAGCAGCTAGCACTAAGTCTTACAGAAAGCGAGTAAATGTGATATAGGTATATGTACCTCTAATATACTAGAGTAACCTAAAATATCACTAAGCCCTCTAAGGATTAGAGTACCTTAGATACTACCCACTGTGATTGGTCAATCAACCCTGTCGGTACCCATTTGGCGCCTTATGACTGCCAAAGGGATGAATTTTTACTACGATATGAATATGCACGTCCGCACGTAAGCCACGGGTTCGAGCCACAAGTTGGAACCTTCCTCGAGTCGGCAACAAGTGCGATTTAACCAACGTGGAAACAGCGGTTTCTCCCTCCTACCCCTCATTTCTGCTAACTTTCTGGTGCCATATATATCCTCCCTCAAGCGATCGACTCCTCGCACAGTATTCATTATTAGATTCTTTACGATGCTAGGTATTCCCACGCGCTCGAGCTCCTCCATGGTCCTCCACTCCCACGCGGTCAAGATGGGGGCTGTTGAAGTTTCTGCAGTTGCATGGCAAAGCATAAGCACGTCCCCTTCACCGCCGGATACATAGGTGGATGTCCATCTAATGGCTCGTACGTCGATGCCGTCGCATTGTGTCTTGACTATCATCTCGGCAGCTTCGAATTCGTCCATGCCAAATTCCAGGTCAGCTGACGGAAACGAAAACGGACCTAATAGAGATTTTGTGTCAATTATCTGTATATCATTTTTTATACCCCCCCCCCCCCCCCAAAAAAAAAAAAAAAACATTACTACAAACTCACAAGTCCCCTCGCTGCTCACTGGAGATCTGATCAGCACTAGGTCTTTCCAGACAACGGCGGCCGTGATGCGGATCTGATTGGTTTGAAGAGCCATGGTGAAGTTGGAAGATGTGCGTTTCTCTTGGGCGGAAAGAGGCTGTTTATGCAAAGAAGCTGTGTGTACTGGTGATTGATGACAATTTTGCATCAAGACAAAATCATAGGGGACATCTCCGGCTTTATTTACCCTCACGGCAAAGTGAACAGACCATGGTGATGTAGTATTTCTCTTTTATTTTGATTTTTGTTTTGCTCAGAAGCACTCAACTAGATGAACAAATAGGGAACAATTGCCATGTCCGGGGACTTGCTTGGAACATGGGAACACAGGAGCTCTGCGCGCTTGAGACACATTTCATGATGAACAAAAAAAGAATCGAGAGGCTCGAGATTCTGCGACCAACACGACAAAACATGTTCGCGTTGAGCCGTGTCCACTTGAAGCCGTGTCCGCCCAAGAGCCGTGGATGCGTTTATGAGGAGGCGTTTTTGTCTCTTTCTCTCCACTTGCCCTGACGTTCTCTCGCCGATTTGACGACATGCGAAAATGAATAGGTGTCTTGGGCACAGCCGAAACCGACCGTTCGGGCATGCCGCCGGCTAAGTTCAGAATTCCACAGCGACCGAAAGAAAGAAAAACAGAATAAGAAAAGAAGAAGACGGAAGGGAAAGGAAAGAAAACAAAACAAAACAAAGAATCCCTACATGCTTTGACGTGCACCATCTGTGCCCCATTTCTCATCTTCAAACAAAAGAACAGGGGTAAGACTCGGGCATCATGGCATGGGGTCAAACAACAAGGGGAACTTGCACTGTTGCTCTGCGCGAATGACGTACAAACAATCATGGACTCGTCATATGCATGCAAGGTAGCCCGCTTTCATCCTGTCTTGCCGAACAGCCTCGTGGTCCTCTTTACTCCCTCCGCTCTTGTTATCTCCTTGTCGTGATTTTCCGCCTTGTCTGGAAGAAGCAGTCGTTTCGTGCAACTGTTTTTGGGAGTGGTTAGAACGACCGCTTCTACAACATAAAGATCGGTTTCAAATTATTTTCTCTATCAGCACGGCGCCGAAATCCAGGACGTGCATTTGAGGAGAAAAGAGGAGTGGTCATGTTAGTTAACAGGTCCAATGGGATGCGCACCTCGCAAGAAGCGGCTGCTGTTCTCGTCTACGCCCAAAAACCAGATAAGCTTATAATGGAGAACAAGGATCCCGTGACTTGTAAGGCCTTTCCTGAATCTCTCTATCTCTCTCTTTTTTAAATGAAAAGAAGAGAAAACCGTAAGGTAGGGCACTCTGACAAAGTCGTCAATCCAGGTGGGCTATGCGGCTGGCGTCATGACAGGCCGTTCTTGGCAAGATTCCAACCCAGTCAACTACGAAGGGAGAAAATCAGGCCCAAGCAAATGCTTCACTTTGCGATCGACGGAAAGGATGAAAGGAGAGAGACAAGTGAGAGACAAGTTTACCTGCTGGCTTTAAAGGTTGGGAAAAGGGGTTGACATAGCTGATTCCGTAGAAACCTCGTGTACAGAGGCTGGCTATTTCCACGCGAAGCCGACATAGCGTGCTGTTCGACACCTGTTATATTCGTGAAATAGATGTGTTATGATACGAAGGAAAGTATGCTCCTTATGCCAATCAAATAAAGACGATGGACAACATGAAGAATGAAAATATAGACCAGCTACAAGGCAGCCTCGACGTCGAAACGACTCTGCGTAGTAGAATATGTCCAAAACATTTCCATAGCCATCCCGTCTTATTCTCGGTTTCTTTGAAAAGTGCTGCTGTCGATAGCGGTTGCCCTCCATGACACCCTCCATGACAAGGATGCGCAGATCATGTCGCGGAAGCAATGCCACATCAATGTATCAACTTACATAATAGTTTCCGTACCGTAATCCCGGCTTTCAGGTCAAAATGACCAACTTGGGAGGCTGCACCGCCCACGTATTGGAACAGGGTCATCACCGATGCGTTTGTCGTATCTGCCCTTCGCGCGAGGCGAGGCGGAACACTTGCAGATACCTGGCCAACCAGGGCAGATATTGGTCACTACCTGGTGATTCGGCTAGAGAGCAGTATACCTGACATGTGTACCAACCACAGGGACTGGCTCTTCCGAGCATTTATACATGAGTAGCCGCGCGGCAACATAGAGACGCAGGCTAGTCATCTCTTTTGAGGCTTCTCTGCGGCGCCATGAAACGAGCGCAGCTTGACGCTTTGGAAGAGGCAGGTGTCTGATTCCAGGCTCGTGCCTGGTAACGAAGGCAAGAAGAGAGATGGGTTCTCGGTCTGTCGTCCTGAAACGATGGTTCAGGAGAACCAAGGATATAATGCTTGCTCTGTGACATGAGGCATGAGAGTGATGAGGCTGGAAGGCTGGCGAGGAGTTGACAAGGGAACGGAGCGGTCTGGGTGTCACCAAGAGAATTGGTCTTTGAGAGATTCTAGGACGGGCGCCACGACAAGGATGTAGGCGCGGATCCTCGTAACGTTCATCGATGCTACATATGGTATGTATGTACACATACACATACGGACAAATGTACGTACATACGTGTATACAATACACTCCAGAAACTATTATAAATGATGTGTAGAAAAGAAGTCTGAACTAGGTAGGTGGCGCTAATGGCGTCTGGTGGCGTACGTAACGGGTGTAAATCATTCAGGGGTTGTACTTAAGACACAGGGACGGGTGAATGTATCATGACTACCCAGGCCACCACTGGTTGCAATAAAGTTGAAATATGCCCGCGTTGTTCCCAAATCTTCTTGCAAGGGCGGCAAATATTCTTGGTCTCATACACGGGCCAGTTTCCCACCAACTGACTCGGAAACCAGCACCTCGTAACGTCGCCGCCACAACGGCAGAAAATTTCCCCCTATGCAGACACTAGACTCTGAGTCTTGTGCTACACTTGTCTCGCAGAGGCCGAGTTCCGAGTGACCGATCAGGCCGTGGGACACAGCACCGCCGTCATTTATGATGAAGCAGTCCGGTCTGACTGTATGTCTTTGACCACCGACGGTGTTTCGACGAATCCGCGAACAAGAGCCATGCAGTGGCTTGGATAACTGGGGTGCCGTGAGGGAAAAAAAAAAAAAAAAAAAAAAAAAAATGAGACACTGCTCGGTCATTTGAGTCTCGCATCATGCTGTGTGGCCCTGTTAGGAATTGAGAAAAAGAAAGAAAAAGAAAAAGAAAGAAAAAGAAAAAGAACAAGAAAAAGACTTTCCTTGTCTGCTCAAATAGGAAAAGAGGATGCCGCGATGAGGCCCGTCCAGTTTGGCTTGTATTCCTGAGCTAAGCGCCAGGAGAGGATAAAGAAGGTCTTCTCCGACATTGTACCGCAGTCAGTAAGATCACGCGGCTTGTTTGTCTGCCCCTGCAATTCAAAGGGAAAATATGATGATTTATGAAAGATGATTTGTTTTTAGGTGAAGAACCAAAAAAAAAGGAAGCAAAGGAAATAAAAATATGTATGTATGTACATGGACGCAAAGGTGTCGTGGCCACGATGTACTCGGGCGACGGGCCGAACGAGTCACTCGTTTCTGTCCTTCCATTATTGATCCTCTTTCTAGATTATTGACAAGGTGGTCACCCTTTTCTGAGGTGTGGGAGGGGATGGCTCTAGATTGTCCAACTTCTCACCGAAGCCAGCCACAATGAAGAAAGCAACGGCTACCAGGATGCGGGTGCGTGAAGGGCCCTGAGAAGAGTACGCCACCGTTTTGACAAGTGATGGCTGATTTTGGACTTGTCCACGGCACTTGGAAGAGGTTGGGCTTGGATTTTGGGGAGGAGGGGAAGCAGGTTTTGTGACAAGCAGGCAGGAGAAACGGGGAATATTCACAGATTGAGTAGGAGTGGGGAGCGCATGTCTATCGCATGAACATTGGTCATTCGAGCATTTTGTATGGTTGCCGAGGCTGAGCTGGGTTTGTTGTGGTTGTGACGTGACGATCATGACGAAGGTGACCTTCGAAGATGATACTGTACTACATATTGTAAAATAGAATCGTCTCTATCATCAATAAAATCAGGCACTTTGGCCGAGTGGTCTAAGGCGCCGTGTTCAGGTAGTCCGCTGTTCGCAGCTGATCCTATTCGCGGTCTAGTAATAGGCGAGGGTTCGAATCCCTCAGGTGTCATGTATTTCTTATCCTTTAATTTTTTTCTTCCATGCCTTGACTATGCCCCACATGAACCAGGAATTCGTGTTTACTGATCAATTTCTGTTCTCTTTTTTCTTCTTCTTATTTTTCCAAGTATTCAACCTCGGTTCCATCTTGACTCGCTGGAAATGCTCGGCTCATCGGCTCAACAGCGGCGGCAAGTCGTCTCGGGCCTGGATGTGCAGCGTACTTGCCAATTTGTTCATGCCGATATGTGAATAATGTCCGGCCCCACTTCTCCATGTCTTGCTTGCCGGGAGCTAAATTGAAGCGTCGGGGTGAAAATGGGGTTTCGACTGTTGAATGCTGCGAGGCCTTTTGATTCTTGAACGTTCTCTCTCCTGGCTCCTGAGTGGGATTCCATTGTTGGAGGCATTGGACCAATTGATATCCCGCCCGTGTGCTGTGCACGCCGCCAAGCTTTCGAGCCACGGGCCGTTTGTGTCCAGGCGTTTTTCTTCCATTTCCTGCACGAACATGGCTGCAAGATGCAGTCTGGTACGTCGCACAGTACGTGATCTGATGCCTGCACAGTGAGCCAAGATGCTCCCTCCCCCTTCTCACTTCTTTTTTTTATTTTTTATTTTTTATTTAATGTTTTCGCTTCGTTTTCGTGTCACCTTGCCTCAGCTCTCGACCTCCTCGTGCAACGTCAAGATGAAATAGCGTGGCCCGCTGACTGCACCGAGGACAAACGGATGGTGCCGCGCTGAGGTCCCAGCATTTTGTCCCAGCATTTTGTCCCAGCATTTTGTCCCAGCATTTTGTCATGGCGGCTTGCTGACCAGCTTCATCACTCCAGCGACGTGCCTTGTGCCTGTTCCAATAAACGCGCCAGCACAAGACTCCAGACTCGGTCCTGCCACTCCCCAAAATCCGACGACGCGTGTGCAAGAAAGCCATGTTCCAGTTTCCATGACTCCAATGTCTGTCTGATCCGCAGTCATCGATCATTCCCACCTTGTTCCATGGAAAAGAGAACCCTGTCATCACGTATCTCGACTTCCCCAACCTGTGCGTGCCATCGGCCTGCAATCCCGGCATGATTGGCAGATAAACCATCTCGTGGACATTGCGCACACGAACATGGCGCTTCGAATTTCCCCTCATCGTCATGGATGCCCCAGTCTGTCAACCCGGGCTTTCTTCCAGGGAGAGCTGGCACGTCGAGGACCAAAGCAATGGCAATGGCAATGGCAATGGCAATGGTGCCTCATACTGCCGACGACCCGTGTGGCCATATTCTGTCCGTTCTTTACTTCATTTCATCTCCTCTCCTCGGCCCTGCGAGATGCGAGAGTAAACCGTGTGTCCAACCCGCGACGTGCATTTGCCGTCAGTGGCCACACACCCAGCGGTTCCCATGAGCTGCCGTGTAACCGGCTGTGGACTGCCATGTCATGATTCCGGCTCATTCAACGACAAAACATCATACGACCAAGGACGACCAAGGGACGACCGACGACTGCCTGTACTCAGCATCCACCTCAGCAAGCACAGCAACACTCAGGCACACAAGCTGTGCATGATGATGATGTGCATGTCGGACCAATCCACAAATCCACGCGAGCACATCATTCCAATCACAAACTATCCCAATCGCACCCTTTTTGTTTTCCTACGCGCCGATACACAACAGCCCGCTATTCGAGCTAGGACGCTGCCGAGGTACCCCATACTTTTGTCTTTGTCTCAACACTACGTCAACCAAGTTTTCTTTTCTTCCTTTCCGCTGTCTGGGAGTCGAGTCCCACGGTCACAACCTAACCAGCAAGGCAAAAAGAAGTTGGAAAAAGACGGGGTATCAGTGGCTGCGCTAAACTAGCGTCTTGCAGGGACTCCCGGCTTTCACGAATACCCAGATCAGAGAACAAGACATATCCGCAGACCTCCCTACTGTTCCACTCATGAGGAGTGAAGACGACGAACAGAGAGCCTTGGTTGGACAAGACGTCGAGAGAGAAACACAGGGAATGTGCACAAGGGTCCAATATCCCTCGACTCAGCAGCACCAGCCATTTCTTTCCTGTCGTGTGTACACACACATGTCTGCATATACATCATGTCTCTGCGTGAGTTTATGTGTGCTCCCCTGTCCTGGGAGTGGCGATCGAAAAAGGAAAAAGAAAAAAAAGGCTCTTCCAGCCACGTACGTCGGATAGGCAGATGCATTTCACTTTCTTCCCCGGAGCGTACGGCCAGCAGGAGGCGGTGGCAATATTGGTCCAGTGATGAATGTACGCAGTGATGCTGCTCGTTTGTGAATGTGACAATTCACTTTTTTCTTCTTTTTTCTTGGGTAGTGCCTCAGTGCCTTTTGACTTTTTGATGTCCTGGCCTCAGCTGAGGTTGGAACCGGCATGTACATATGCACAATGTATGGACATGCATTCGAGTCTACGCAGACAATGTCAGCCCCTCCGCACGCGGCATGTACGTGAGTGGACGAGCAGCAAACCATGTATGTCGATCCTGGAGAATCACGTCCAAAGGCAAAAAAGGAAATCGACACGGCTCTTGCTAGTGGTAGAAGCACTCGAGAGAAGGACAGTGAGGGGTGTGAGCGGGCTGGAACAAAAATAGGGGGAAGGGGGGGGGGTGTTCTCGAGTGACGAGTGACGAGTTTCCCCTGTCCAAGCCAAAGAAGATGCTACCCCTGGTGATTCTGCTTTTTTACTTCCAAGGAAAGGGTACTCCCTACCAAGGCCATATGCAAGACCAACCTTTTGGTGAAGCGCACCTCGGGCAAGTCTATGGCGTATCATGTAGCATGCATTAGCGAGCATGGCACAGCCGGTCATGAGCATGACTAGATGACAACAGATTTGACGCCTGGAAACGTCCATGACAAGACCATTGGCCGTCTTGAAAGCATGAATCCTCAGCTGAGGGAAAACGGACCTCACTCTTGGACCCTTCAACGGACCATTCTTTTGAATATAAAAAGCCTCGACATTCCCCATTCCATGCCAACGACTTCTGCCTCTCTCCATCCCGAACAGCACCCCTCACAAGAAGCAAACAAGTCCTCTCTCCCGTCTTTTGACTCGCTTTTGGCTTTTCTAGCTTTTTGCTCCTAGCTTTTGTCTTCTCAACGCCAAAATGAAGTGCGCTGCTGTCGTCTTGGCTCTTGCCGCCACCGCCCTCGCCGTTCCCACCGGGAGCTCCGATACCGTGTGCAGCAACGACAGTTCTCACACCAATCTCTACTGCTGCAACAGCGGTATTCCCATCCTCGGTCAGCTTCTCTGCAATATCAACCTCGGAGGCACCACCTGCGGCGGTAGCGCTTGGTGCTGCACGTCCTCCACGGCTCAGGTACGACGGTCCCGTGTCTTTTTTCTTTCTTTCTTCTTTTTTTCTCTCCTTTTCTGCCTCTTTTTTTTCCCTTTCTGCTCTTCTTTCTTCCTTTCTATCTTTCTTTCTTCATTCCTGTCTTATACTAACGTGCTACGCGCTGTCTTAGAACGGCTTGATCAACGTCGGCCTCAACTGCATCCAACTCTAAATGACCCCATTCGTCCACCGATGGTGCTTTCAAAAACCACATCCTCGAGGAAATGTCCCGATTGCTCGCCACGCTTGAATAAACCCTTTCATCCTGTCCTCTTTGTCCACTGCCCGCACGGTTCGACAGCGCTAAAAGGATGGAGTGAAACAGTGCGGAGAGCATGATGGAAGTACCTTTTCTTTTTGCTTCTTGGAGAGGGATTCTTCTTGGACATGTGGGCTCAACTATCGGCCGGGTCTTTCTGAAGTGGTAGGCGAACCGGAGCGGATTCGTTTCATACGAAGGGAGTGTGAGCTTTGGCATGGTCTAGGCCGCGGCGCGAACGACTGCCCGACTAGACACTTTTTTGCTTGGTTCAGCGCCCTCGTATCATCCGTGCTTCTCTTCTCCTGCACTTCGTGTTTTCTTGCTTTCTGTGCGTTCTGATCTGAGGGAGTGATCAGACAAGTTTTTTTGTTTACCTTTTTATATAAATAAATTGCGATTGATCCGATATGGCTCTTTGAGGCAGTGGTCTCGATTGTCTGTTGACTTCTTTTTTCTTTCTTTTTGCCTTTCTTTTTGCCTTTATTGTCCTTTTACGTATTTCAGCGGCTACGAGCTGCTTCGAGTATCCATCACCACTGTGAATCGCAACTTTGGCCGGCCCGTTGGAAACCCGCGATCGGGAGTCTTTTCTTTTCTCCTTTGTCCCGCTCTTTTACCAAGTAATCCGCTGCTGCTGCTACTACTACTACTGCGCCCCAAGGTAGCCATTCATTCATGCTGGACCCGTGAGTGGATTGTGCGGCGCCTGCGCTGCTGTCCTACGCGGGGAAGGCTGTATGTCTCGCCGAAAAAGGCACCCTATGCAGGAAAAGCATCCGATGTTCGTTCCCCGATCCAAAGCGGGGACCTTGTGCAATGATAATACGGGTCTTGTAGTCTTTGTGTTTGTGTGTTGTTTTTCTTTCCTTCTTTTGTAATGTTTTTTTTTTTTTTTAAA